AAGAAACAGATCTAGGGAAAATCGGTGCCCTTATAATACATCTCGGAAATTGTGGGTTGTTCCCAATCAAGCAACGTGTTGAACTTCCCAGGCCTGGGAGTTTAGCCAAGTTCTTTCACAAATGCGAAACAAATCTCAGAGCTCCGATAACTATCGGGACAAACTGAGCTTTTACTCCCTACATTCGAATGATCTCGATTTCCAAACTCCTGTATTTAAGATGTTTCTCTGCCTCCTAGGTTACGCTTTGATCGCACGGCACAACCACATCTACAACTAGACACGACTTTTTCTCCAAATCCCTCATAACAATGTTCGGTTTGTTTGCCGCTATTGTGCTATCAGTTAGAATTTGTCGGCCATACAGTGTTGTACACAGTCCAACAGAAGTCACCGATTTTGGTGAGTGTTCTACCACTTGGGGCATGTGTTTGGGACTTCGAGGGCAGAACAGATCTCTCAGTGGTAACTCAAACTTGTCGTGTCTTTCCAAGTATTCGGTCTTTGCTAGAACTGTACAAGTCGAGACGCTCAGTGGTGTCTACTTATTTAGCATTTATGACTTGGAAATTTTGAAAGCCGCTTTAACATAATGTCCTCAGCGCATGATCTTGGGCAGCTATTACAACTACTTCCGATTCTGGCCTCATTGTTCTCCGGTCAAGCCCAATAAATTATTGATCTGCACCTTGTCTATTCTTTTTAGATAGTGTTCATGGAGTGGTTTGTCTCCCCACGATTTCTTTAACATTTTTTTAGTCTCAATTTCATTTTCACTAGCACCAGAGGTTGTGTCTGTGTTATTCTGCGTGTCTTGTAGTTTTCTTCGCAATGCTTCTTTCTACACTTACAATGCACCTGTTTCCCATTCTTCGGTCAGATTTCATGTCCTGCCTCAGTAGAGGGTCATCTTGTTGGATGACGACATACTTTCCCATCCCGACTATTGTATTGTGCCAGGAGGCTTCAATTTGCCTGAGACCTCTTCTTCCTTACGTGACAATTAAAGTCTATGTTCATCAGATCGAGGGTGGGCGACATGAAGCATTATAAGCAGATTTCTGGTTTTGCCATCCACGATTCGATTTTCTTGCCCAGCACAGTCCACTAGTCTGGAACTGTATTCGGCTACTGGCACCGCCAAACTACCTATTGCAGATATTTTATTCCTGGATTTCAGAGCGGACTGCAGGACAAGTCTCACTCTTCTGTAATACTTCCTGCGAATTCTCTTTCATTGTATTGTTCGAAATGTTCTCACATTCTTCACTGTTCAAGTATTTTTAAGTTTTACCTGGATTAACATCTTGAATAACAGTGCGCATATAGACATCAATGTTCTCTGGCGTTGATATTTTGCCTCTCTTTAAATTGATATTTGCACACTTGTAAGACCAAACTTCATGCAGATGTCATTGCTAAAATCAATCATGATCAATCATCCTAAAATCAATCAATCATTTGGGAGATAATCGCTTGAATTTTAGCAAGCAATTTAAGATCATCGATGTAAAACAAATGTGATAGTGGTCTTTCATCTCCATGGAGCTTGTATCTAAAATTATTAAAGTATCTAAAGTTTGGGAACTGACTAGACTGTGGGATCAAATTACTGCAAAACAGGAGATAGGGAATCTCCTTGAAAACTTTCCCTGTTAATCTGAATACTTCTTGTTTCTACTACTTCCTTTCCGCCTAATAACCTGGTACTCCACGACTTCATACTAGCCTTGCAAAACTCTTCAAGTCTAGGTTGAAGTCGATAGATCTCAAGAATCTTGAAAATCCAGTCGTGTGGTACTTTGTCAACGGCCTTCTGGTGGTCTAGGCCTTGCTTAAATTTAGTTTTCATTTCCTTACATCATTATTACTTTATGTAATAACAAAATTTCCTTACAGCCATAGGAACCTTTACGACATCATTTCTGTTCAACAGTTCAACAGTTCTCTAGGTGTCTGTACATTTTATTAGCTAAAACGGCAGTTAAAACTTTGTGCAATACTGCGAGACAAGAGATTGGCCTTTAGTACTTCTCCAAAGAATTGTCTCACGCTTTGGGTAGCAAACAAGTGATGGCGCGTGTGAGCCATTGCGGGAGCTCCTTTGGATTTTCTGAAATGTTATTCAGAGCCTTTGCTAGATGAGAAAATAATGCTGTTAATTTCTTAATTCAAACATTCTGGTTCTTATCAATCTCGGAAGATTTCCAGTTTCTCATAGTCTTAATTGCATGGAAGTGGTCCCCTTTCGAAAATTCGTCAATATGTTTCACTGTGGTTATTATTATTATTATTATTATTATTATTATAGTTTTTATTGTTATTATGTGGGGTGGATTTTTAGGACAAAACATTGCCAAAAATGATCAATGAAATGATCTTAAAAATTATCTATAAACAAAGAAAAATACTTTAAGAATTGAAGAAAACCAGTTCAGATGAACAACTCAAGCTGTTGGATATGTTACTAATATAATGTAATGTAATGTAATCCGTTTGTTGAAGTGAACTCAGCTAGCAAACTTTGGGTTTGGACTGTTCTTAAAATGTCTATATTAAACGACATTGTCGTAAAGTGAAAAGAAAAAATGATATTTCATTAAAATTCGTCCCCTAATTATTATTATTAAATTTTGAATATCGTATCATGACATAATAATTATCCGATAATTAACCACCTCAAATACAATCCACACGTGCTTGTGAAGTCATTAACAGGCTTCGTTTAGATCGTGTGCGTACGGATATCGACAGATAAATTTTACAAATCTTTTTTGTTGCTTGATCCAATTTTCGGTTTTCGAGTTACCGAAAATCAGTTCAGTACGGGAGCGCGATCTTCAAAATGCGACTAACGTGAACCTCACTCCGACTGCGAACCTCTGACTCCTAAGCCCCGTTCGTGTCCCCTTCCCCTGCCACCATTAAGAGCGTCAGAATGTGTGGGGCTTCGGAAGAACCAGTATGTATTACCTACTATGATATTCGTGCTCAGTCTAGTCGCCACCTCTAGAACCCACTAAAAGACTTGTCTTCGTCGGCGTTTTTACGTGGCGTAGAATTATCGGAGGGAAAATGAGGTTGAAATTTAACATATTGGAATATTTTTTCTTCTTTGCGTACGTACGTATATACGGAGTAAAATACGAAGTATAGAAAAAGTTATGTAACACTGAGGAAAATAAATTTCGATATTTCAATGGAAATACATGTTTTGTGCTCCTAACACCGGAAAAGTTTTTTTTTGTTTTGAAAACTTCTGTCTGTGAACACTACTAGCGCCTAAACCATACGTAAGTTTTTTTTTCCCAACATGAATATTCCCCGGTGGATCTAGCGGCACTCGAAGCTTTGTGATTTCGAGAATATTGTTAAAAATTTGGAAGTACAGGGATATTTTCAAAATTTTCTCAAAAATTGCTCTATTTTTTTCTTTAAATTTCTTGAACGAATAGAGGAAAATACACTTAAAAAGTTGGCATTGGACCCATTTCCACAATTAACTTTGAATTTTCAAAACTTGAAAATTTTCTTTGAAAATGAGCTCAAATTTTCTCATTTTCAGAAACGCTTACATGCCATTTTCTCAAACACGGCACCAAATATTTTCTTAAAATTTTTCGTACGAATAGTGATAATTACTGTTCAAAATAAAATAAAATGAATTTTTCTGTATTCTTTTGTATTTTGAAAATTACACATCTATTTTTTTGAATATTTTTCACCCCTTCAATATACACATTTCCAGCGATTTGTATACATTATTGCATTTGTGAATGGAATTGCTTGAAATTACTTCTAATGCAGTTTTACGAAAATTGAAAAGATTTCTGTGGAAAGAGCTTGAATTTCGCATTTACAGTAATGCTTAAACGCCATTTTCTCGAAAACGGCTCCGATTTTTCCTTTAAAATTCTTGAAAGAATAGAGGAAAATACATTTACAAAGGTGGCCTAGGTTCGATTGCAACAGTTCCAAATTTTTCAACGAAAATTTTCTATAGGACGAGGTTGTCTCTTCTGTGATATTTTAAAGAATAGGTTTAGGTTAGGAAAGAAAAATTGAGATTTTTTTAAAATGTGTTCTTTGGGCGGCTGTAGATGGCAGCTGGCTAGAATATGTGGCACGTCCGAAACGCTAGCCCAGACCAAAGAAAATAGAATAGTAATTAGAACGAGAAAGTCTGCACCATTCTGTAGTACCACATTTGGAAGATATAAAAGCATTTAGATAAGAGATGAGAGAAGGCTACGTCAGTGGTCTTGGAAGGGGAAACGGCTATTCGTACGTACGTTCTTTAGCGAGGAATTGACCAAGCGGATTGTCGCAACTTAACGCGGAACACATGGTCACCGCTGGGCGCTGCTGTTGGTGTGCTTGGGCGTGGTGAATGCGTGCGCGTCGCGTCGGCCTTGGCGCGCCCGGTTCGATGCACGGGCAAGGCCGCGCCCAACGACAGGGGGAGACAGAATGCCAAAATAAATATTCGGACTGGCGTTCGTAAGTAAAAGGGAGCGCTACAGAAAGTTAAATCAACATCATGAGGTTAATAGTGGCCCTCCGGGTCCCTTTCTCTCTCTTTCTCTATTCGTCGATTGTCCTCTCTAAGTCCTCCCCTCTCCCTCGGTTTTGATTGTTCAATAGATAGGTCAGTATATACATTTGTTATGGTTTGCTTTAAATTTAATAAGATTTGATGTATTAAATTTCATGTATAAAATATTTTTTAAAGTTAATAAGATTTGATATATTAAACCATTTTGCTGTCAGTAATTAAATTGCAATCAATTTCTGTTTACTCCGGGACATGAAATCTACACAATCAAATAGTTTCTACTTTGTTTTCCTAGGGTATTTTTTGGTAAACTGCATATATTATGTTCTTTGACAAAATAGGGCACGCTTTACACGGAAATTGTAAATATTTTGCTGCCCTGTTGATCAAGTTGTAAAAGCACTATTTTATTAAGTCAATTTATTGGTAGTTAATTAGCAATTAAATGGCAAAAAAAATTGTGGCAGTTTTAGTTATTTAAGGGAGTAAAAATCACACATATTTTGCTACCTTGATCTCAAGTTAGAAAAACACTGCGTTTCTTTTTTAATAAAGTGCAATTAAATAAATTTCTTGGTAATTAATTAGTAATTAAATGGCCAAAAATTTAGTAGTTTTTGTTGTTTAAGGAATCCATGAATGTTTAGCTACCTTGATATCAAGGTGGAAAAACACTGCGTTTGTTTTAAAATATAAATGGCAATTAAATTAATTTTATGGTAATTAATTAGCAATTCAATAACCAAAAAATATCCACTAGGTTTCACTCGTTTTAGCTGTTAATGGCTTTGTAGTTTTATATACCTACGTTTAGGTGCGCTATCACGTCAGTTGCCTTGTCACTCGTTGTTCGATTGTTTCTTGACACGACGGTGACGCGCCCCGACTCATCTCCGTACAGTCATTTGTTCGTATAATTAATTGTTCCCATGAACGAGGGACTAGTTTTTATTTAACGTGCGGGATCTTTTAGGTTATATTGCCATTGGACGCGTTCCGCAATCGGTTGTGCATCCAGGCTCCCTATGAGTATATCATTTCAGCGGATCTAACCCAGGACGAACAAGGCGGCTTAAAAAGGTGCACTGCGATTAACACTGACTCGATTTAATGATCAGGTAATGGTAATACAAACCAAAATACATTTTCCCAGTCGACTACCAACACCAGTGGTTTCAAACGTTAAGGTTAACAGCTGAAATGTCAGAATCGAATCGGAATCGAATTCGATAGCCGACAGCCCTTCTCAATGGTTTACGAAATTTTCCTGGTCTCTTCCAGGCGAATGCCGGAGCGGCAACCTAGTGTACAGACCACTGACCGCGCGCGATCGTTTCGTTTGATCAGGTTCCCCTCGCGGTGTCCCTTTTAGTGCGCCGTTTTAATCCCGTGACGTGACTAACTTCTTCCGCCTTATGACAGTCCTAAGGGGTAATGTTGGAATTTACTTTTTACGAGTGTCTGTCGCGTTAGAACCTTATATTGCCGGAGTGATTTAAATTCGCCAGGCCTCTGTGAGTGTGTTTCATGTCATAAGCGTGATTTACCCTTCGAAAAACCTCAGACCCAGCTAAGATTGAACCCGAAGTCTTACGGTTTAGTAGTCACAACAAATGTCGCCTGGTAGGGCACAAGTACCCGAAGACTTGCAAAGCATTAGAGTATGTTCTATACAAACAAGCGATATGACGGATGCCACATTTGCCATACGAGTAACCCACTCGAGTTAGTACGAATGCATTCGGTCGACAAACATGTCGACACTGGCGATGAGATGGTGTGGTTTGGTTTATTTTCGGGCACGTCAATGATCGTTTCCCTCGTTAGCAAGGTGAGAGCTTTATGGCCCGAGGTGGCGGCGTTCCTTGCCTGGTGGATAGTGGCACACGTGTGAAAGGCATGGGAGGATAGCACAAGACTATACCGAGAACCAACATTCGCATCAAATCAATTGCTTACATGTGTCCAGGTCGGCAGATTATAAGAGAATGATCATTTCGTCTTTTTCATGGCTTTTAATGCGTTCTTCACACTTACTGCATGTACTTTCTACCGGGTCGTAGCAGCCCGAAACAGCATGACGTTTTGGAATCTTGTATTTATTGATTCATTGCTTGAACAATGTCTATTATGTAGCTTCTAAACGTTTTGTATACGTACCCTTCCCTCGTAACTGCATGCTTGATGCACGTACTCCCATACGCTTGATGCACATACTCCCATTGGTATAAAATATCGTTGGTCCTTTGGCTTATCACAGTATCTTTTATATACAGGTGAGTCACTGAATTATTTACGAAGTGCGAAATGTTCCATCTAGTAAAGCAGTAAAGCTCTAGAAATTTTTGGATATTATTATATAATATGCCATTTACTGGACATTATATTATAATGTGGAGTGTCTGTAAACGAAACAAAATAAAAATGTTCCAATCTGGCCAAAGGAGACATTGCTAACTTTTTCTTGCGTGTTCAACTAGAGGACGCCCTGTAACTTTGCCGATGATGGCTCTCTCGTCCTTGCAATAAGAAAAGGTCTCACCAGGAACACAAGGCAACAGGAAACACGATCAGCATGGTGTCGAATGGCGACCACTAAGTGTTAAGAGCAGAGAAGGCTTTGTTGTTTAGATACAAAGCCAACCTCTTCCGCTGAAGAACTCGGGAGGAAAAGGTCTCATTCACTTGTAACCTGACGCTGGGGGTGGTTGATGGCGCCGAGATGGCGAGACTTGAAGAGGTAAAAGGATATCGCTTGAGCCAGGAGATAGTGAATGGGGACAGGGGAGGTAAAGGAGGATCGCGCGCGGTCAGTGGCACTAGGTTGCCGCTCCGGCATTCGCCTGGAAGAGACCAGGGGAAATTACATAAACCATTGAGTAGGGCTGTCGGCCTTCGAATTAGAGTCCGAGAGGCGAGGCGCCACAATCTAACTATACACATCGCGCAAATGTCCGGCACCTGGCAGGGATCGAAGCCGCGACCTCCCAATCAACAGTACATTTCAGCTGTTAACCTTAACGTTTGAAACCACTGGTGTTGGTAGTCAACCGAGAGAATTTATTTTGATTTGCATTACCATTACCTGATCATTAAATCGATTCAGTGTTATTCGCAGTGCATATTTTTAAGCCGCCGTGTTCGTCTTGGGAGTGACGATTCGTGCGTGAGTCGCAAGCGCTGCTCACTACCCCGTGAGGGAAAGAGAGGCAATGTGGAGGAACGGGGGTAGCAAAGAATGGCGAGACGTGGCGTGTGACGTTGCATCTGGAACGAGACGTCGCGGTGAGAAATGTGTAGAAACCATAGCAGCGTCGCGAGCCGTGAGCGAGGCAAAGCAGCAAAGAATGGCGAAGAATGGCGGGGTGGCGAGCGGGGTGGTGTTTTGAGGAATGGCGGCGAGGCAAGCGGGATGATGTGGTTTGGTGTGGTGTGGGGTAGCGAGTGGCGGGCAATGCGTCAGAAATTGACGGGGCGCGCGGGGGGAAGCGATGCTGGCCGTGCGGGGCACTGTGCCAAGCCGGAAGACGGGGGGTGCCGATGCGATGCGATGCGATGCGCAGCGCGGCGCGGGGCGCGGTGGCGGGGCAGGCGCGCGTCCCAAATTAGCTCGTCCCCGCCACGCTACGCCGTCCCGCCCTCTCGCTCCGCTCCAGCTGCAGCCGGGGCCGCGTGCCCCCGCGGGTCGCCCCGGGGCAAGTGGGCCCGCCGCCGGCCGCGACCTCCGCCCGCGCAGAGAGCTCCTAGCTTCCTCTTCGGCCGCGCTGTGCAGATTGACTCCCTGTCTCCTTACTTTCGTCTGCTGGCTCCGAAAGGTCATTGCGACGAGATATGGTGGGTTCATCATTTTGTGTTTCCTGTTCTAAACCTGCTGGGGTCATTGTTTCGAAAGTGCCCTGCAGATTATATCCCGTGTGGTGGAGTGTGCTACCACCGCTTCAGTTTGGGAGCCGGTGGCAACCTCTACATCGGTTTGTGGGAGTTTCTCCTTCTTCAGGAACCTCTGTGAGCGATTCCCCGCCCCCTCCCGGAGCACATTAAGCGCCCCACTAGTCCCTCGATATGTGTGGTAGTGTCGTGCATGCCGAAGTGTGTGTGAGTGTGAGTGTGTGTGTGTGTGTGTGTGTGTGTGTGTGTGTGTGTGTGTGCAAAAGGGCCGAGGAAAGGACAAGAATTGAAAAGGAGTGATCGCGCGCGATCTGTGTCACATTTTGTTACGGTAATACTCCTACATTACCTGGTATCGATAGTGGAAACCAAGGAAGCCTACGAAATTGTTCAAGTAACCGCGGCCATGGTCAATAAATCACTGTATTAATGGGAGAAACCGTGGAATTGGTCACAGCGACTGCCAGCCGTTAGAATTCTCCAGTCAGCGGCTCAGTTCGACTTTCTTCTCTGCAGCGGCCACCCTTGTTCCCTGGAGCTATGTCAGCCGGTAAGGCGTTGTTGATTAATTCATACATTGATTTTTACGGGTACCTCAGCTGCTATAGTGTAGTGAACGTTCTTAAGCCTGTAGGTGGCAGTGATATTGTGATTAGGCGCCGACGTACACGTCGCTTTGAGAGGGAATTCCGCAAAGGGCGTGGCGAAAAGTGGACCGAATCCTCCGGCGCGCCAGGTGTACTCGGCCCTTGCAACTCGTCCACCGTCAATGTAGTGTGTTTCATATGAGGGCTAACTAATGCGTGCCAATATTTAACCATGCTTATCTCGTATTCAACACGCAACTCTGAAATTTGAAATTCCATAATTGTTCCGTTTTGTTATTTGTTGTGCGTGTTGGTCGAAACATCGTAGAAATCACAAGGTAGCGGCAGCTAAAACCTTACGACCGGCGCAAGGCATGTTCGCGTGACGGGCATGCCGTGCACGGTAGGTTAGGAGCGGTGACTAAGAAATTACGAAGTGAATGGGGCTGGCGGGGGCGGAGCCGAGGCGTCCGGGCGGGCGCTCGGGTGCCGCTTAATGGCCCATCCGTCAGCGCGCGTCAGCGCCCGAGGACACGCGACGCCCGGCGGACGACAGCAAACACTCGGGAGCGGCCTTAATAACTTGGCTATTCGAAGTTACGCAACAGGCCGCGCTGCGCCGCACGCCCTCTCTGAAAGGGCCTGACCGAAGCCAAGCGACTGCGTGAGGGCGGGCGGTGTGTGTGTGTGTGTGGGGGGGGGG